TTCTGTTCTCAGTAATATCTTTTAGTAGCATATTGGAATAACTTCTATAATAATTCCTTTTATAGTAACTTCTATTATAGTAATTTTTAGTAATTGCATGTAGCAGTGAGCATCTTCTTCACCTTCTCTTTAGGAAGAAAAAAATGGCCAGAAGGCTTCAGAGGCAAAGGAGGTGAAACTGTACGGTCAGATTCCTCCTGTAGAGAAGATGGATGAATCACTCTCCACGCTTGTTAAGTGCGAGTAAGTTCAGTTAAAAACAAACTGGAAACCAAACATTCTATTTTCTTTTTATTAATTTTCAGTTTTTCTGCTGTCCACTGTGCAGATGTGTTTACTATGTTTAAGTGTGGGATTCAAAGCAGCAGCTTTCTCTTCTTCTCAGCTAAGCTTCTCTTTCCACACACAGTTCCACTTTTTAATTCTAAGATCCCTGTCACTTAACTGAGAAAATGTCAGGGTAGATTCTGTATTGATATTTGTCCCCAGAAAATTGGTATATTGTTTATTGGTATATCATTATAGGTCCGTGTTTGGAGTCTATCAGCTAACTGGCACATTCATGATCCATTCCAAAATGTAAAAAAAAAAAAAAAAGCAGACCCAACAAGGACTTTCAGAAATAAATTAGAGCTAGTTCAGAAATGTCACTGCATTTGTTAAGGCTAGGCATAAAAAAAAAAGATAATCCAGTATGTCATGTAAGTAACTCATGGTACTTTCCCAGAAGCTAAATAAAGTTGCAGAAGTCTTGATGGTTTGAAGAAATTTCGAGTCTGTTTACACATCCAGTTAATTGCCTATCTAATGAGAGAAGAATAGACAATTATTTCTAATGTAATGGTGTTTGGACGTGGAGCTCTTGTGATATAGTGATCCCTTGTATACTGTGAGTTGATTATTCTTGCTTTTAAAGGAAACTATCGTTGTCTACAAACTGCATTGAAAGGATCGCCAACTTGAGCAGCTTAAGTAAGTGACAAGCGGGTGATCGATTATGTTTGTTTTCTAGTTGCTTGGATAGGACATACATTGTAATTTGTTATATGTGTCCAGCTCTGTACCTGTTCTTATCCTTTTTAATTCCTTCCTCTTAGAAAATTACAAGTGACCTTTAAAATTATCAGTCTTACTGGAGAATGCATGTTTAGCAATAACAGTGTATTAAAGCACGTATCTCTGTGCACTAGCTTTGGCAGTTGTCTCACTGTGTAAGTTTAAAAAAAAAAAAATCCATTCAGAAAGCACCTTTGTAACTTCCAGTGGGCCTAGCTGTGATATTCAAAACATAATCAGTTCTAGAGCGATTTAATGACCAATTTCCACGCTCATGATGGAGACAGTCAGCAGTTCAACAACTCTGTAATTGCAGTATTGGTTGGAGTGAGGCTGGAGTATTGTAGGTCTGGATGGAAAAATGCCATTCCACTTTGCAGAGGATTTGGTTTGATTTTGTTCTTACTTGAAAGGGGCATGCCATCTGCCTGGAAGTGAAACTGAACTTTTATTTCATGGGCAGCCATCTCTGAAACCTTGAAACTCCTTGTCTTACTGACTGTGTCAGAAGGTAGTCTGTTCAGAGTTAGTAAGGAGAATATGACATTTTACCTGACTTACAGCATCTCCTTATATGTGAAAAAAAATCCCATTTATTAACAAGAAACTTTCTTTTATCTGTTACAGAAAATTTGAGGATTCTGTCTTTGGGAAGAAATAACATAAAGAACTTGAATGGACTGGTATGCACTTCGTAGTATCAGCTCTCGCTAACAAAATGGAGTGCTGTCTAGAATGTGGGATAATTCCCCTATGATCTGTTCACTCTCGTACACACTGCTTATGAATTTTCAGATAGTATTTCTTTGTTTGTTTTTGTTTAAACACTTCATTTCTGGAGATTCTTCAGGGCTAATTTACTACATAAAAGGATTTTAGAAAGAGGGAGTTCATTGTCGTTGACAACAATGAGCAGAACTTTTATTTGAAAACTGCTGCGTGTCTGTAAAGCCCCTTAAATTCCACTGGCTTTACATGAAAGTAATTCCTACAGACTTTTTGGATGAGGAATTTTCTACCTGAAGACACTCAGGTTATGGTTCTTTACTACAAATATTGGTGGTCTTGTGAACACACACTTCATTAGAGTCTGGCCCTTTTATGTTAACTGGCACCCTGAGCAACTAGCCCCTCTAACACAGTTGTTGAATTGCATTCACTTTATGTATACTTGCAGTGCACAAGCAGCCAAATTTGTCTCCTCTGCCTCTATGCCTCTATGTCATATTCTAGTGTTATTATTTCTGTCCTCCTAAATATATTTCCTTTACTCTTAATTCCCATGGGTAATTGTCATGCATAATTAGGGATCTGCTTAAAAAGAAATGAGGATCAATATACCTGAGTATTTTCTTACATGAGGTGACCTGTAAGGGGTGAAGAGAGAATCTGAAGAATAAGGAAGATACACTTCGCTTACCTGAATAGTCCTGTCATTTTCCAGGAGGCAGTTGCAGATACTTTAGAAGAGCTGTGGATCTCCTACAACTTCATTGAGAAACTGAGGGGTATCCGTGTAATGAAGAAGCTGAAGGTTCTTTATATGTCAAATAATTTGGTGAAAGACTGGGGTAAGCCACGCCTCTCTATCCTGTAACTTCGCGTGCAGTATGGTGAATGCATGAGTTAAGTCACGAAGCGAAAAATAGTTCTGTAGGTACCTGGGCTTTAAGTCTTGCTGATAAGCCTGCAGACACACACGGAATCCCTAAATATCCACTCCTGCAAGAGATTTAAAATAGACAGAAAATTTAATTTAACTTCTAAGCCCAGTGGAGTTTGTTGTTTGAATCATCTTTCTTGGACTTCTTTTAAAATACATACCTGCTCTTTAACCTGATACCAGCTCAAGCCTAAGCAATCCCTAGCCTGTTGTATCTCATGCTGTTTATGTTTGCACTGAGTTGAAAGGAAGGTTTGGTGCAGATGTACTTTCCATGTTCCACAATCTGGTTCATGTTTTCACCTTTGTGGTTGCAGCAGAGTTTGTGAGACTGGCGGAGCTGCCGTTACTAGAGGATCTGGTGTTTGTAGGCAATCCACTACAAGAGAAATACGCCTCTGATCAGAACAGCTGGATTGAAGAAGCAACCAAACGGGTACCCATGCTGAAAAAGCTGGATGGTGAGTTTGGGGCATGAGGCAATTGGTGTGAGTTTAGCCACCCAAAGGGAAATGAATCACAACCTCAGAAATTCATCTGTGTGCCCAAGTAATGTTCCTCCCTCCTCTCTTTGGAGTTATTCAGAAGTAGGCTAACTTCCAGCAGCTGAATTTTGCAGCCCTGGCTACAGGATCTTCTGAAAGTGTTTAATGGATTTTGGAGTATTAAGTCCAAGTGGTCTCAAAGCTCACAGCTGGGCTTTAATTTATCCAGTCAAATAGTTTTAGTATGTAACTAATAGGGAACTGAAACATACTGGTTTGAAGTTCTCTTGTGGGGTTCACATGCTGACTTGTGTAACTATATAGTTAAGTGTTTAGCATGAAGTCAACAAGGCTTTCATCTGCCATGTTGAATTAGTTTCCCCCAACAAAAGAGGGTGACATGGGGGAATGGGCATAGACAGGGATATGTTCTGCTTTGCTTTTGGTGCAGGGGCAAGTTTTCAAAAGTTCATTCAAGTTTCCTAAATGCCTGAATATCCTCCTCTTGTCACTGCACTAAGGCTCAATTTCTAAGCTCTCCTCTCCTTTCTGTCACTGATAGGAAAATATATTAAAGTATGTCTTTAATGATTAGTGTAACAAAGTGAGATAATTTAAAAAATAACCATATTGTTTCTTGGAATCACATTAATATAATTGTATTTTGCAGTCTGGACATCCTAGTTAGGTATCACTGCTAACTTGGCCATGTATGTCATGGAAATTGCAGCACAAGGTGGGGGCCCAGCAGGAGAAGGGTGATGTGCTAGTGGGTTGTTAGCAGTTGAACCGACATGGTGCATCTCCCAGTGACCAAGTTAGGCTGATCTTTGCAGGTCCTGCCTTAGTACCTTTTTTATACCCTGTTACCCGAGAAGTTAGAAAAACATCCAACAGAAGATGTCATCAGTTGAAGGCTTTTGTAGTTAAGAGCAGTTCAGGTATGTAGAGGTTCATGTCTACAGTTAGAAGCAGTGTCAGGAAATACAACTCTTTCCTCTTTCTGCCAGGCCGACTCTTTCCAACAGTCCAGATTAGCTTTCAGGTATATCAGCATTAAATTTCTCTGCATAATCTATTTGTAAATTTTTGCAGATTTTTTCTCTTTTTTTCTTGTAGGTATCCTAGTTATTAAACAAGAAGAAGAAGATGAAGGAGCAAACTGATGACACTTTCTTGTTGGGTATTTAATTATTTAAGTAAAACCTCAGATAGCTTGGTACATAGAACTTTTATATAAGTGTTTGTTTTGAAGAAAATCTTTGTCCAGTTTTTAAAAGACCAGCTTATCTCCAGTCTCTCACCCAAAGAGTTAGTTACCAAAATTTGGGTGCACCAATTTTGTCAAGGTTATGACACCTTCTGTAGAGACCAGTGGAGTTGATTTCATCTGCTGTTTGGCTAGCAAGAGATCTTCACCTAAACTAATACATTGCTATTTTTAATCCCTGATTAGTGGTCCTTGTTATTCACTCTTGGGTTGTAATAGACCCATTTTAGCTTGTTAGGTGCAGCTGGCCATTATCATTGGAAACACTGAGGCCAAAAGAACAACGTTGTGGTTTAGAGACATGTTCTAAGCTTTGTTGTGTTTAATTTTGTCATAGGAATCCCTCAATATTTTAAATATGCAATTTTGCCTTTTCATCCCCTTAACTGTTATGCCAAACAGGCCCAGTACACACAAAAAAGGTAGTGGTCTGATGATTGCTTGTTACTGGCCTTAAGTTTTGAATGGGCTTCTTGCATTGGAACTCAACTGTGTTGCTTAGAAAGTCATGTATAGCTTATATATTTATTTATTCTAAAGAGGCAGTGGGAATTCTTTGCATGGTTTCAGTGAGACTAAAATATCTGCTAGCTTGGTTTTTTTTGTCTCTTACTAAGAAATTATTTTAGATTGGAATATGTGGCCTATTAGCCCACAGCTGGTTCCTAGTTTTGGTTTGGGTCACTGGTGGACACAATCCTTCTCAGCTCTGGAATTTTCCTATAACTAAGTAGGCTGATACTAATACAGAAACAAACAGTGAACAAAAGACCTGGGCTTGAGGACAGGAAATTTTGGGTTGGGGGATATTAATTTTTTGTGAAAGCACAGATGTAAGCAGTGGGAGAAAGTGTATGTAGTTAGTGGGGAAGGCGAGATGAGATGGAACGTGGGCATTGGAAAAGAAGTATTGAAGATGTACTAAATGTGCTATGTTGCAGGGTAACCAGTTTTAGTGAAGCCCCCTTATATGACAGGTAACTATTTTTAATGTAAAACATTAAACAATGATGAAGACATACCTGATTACACTGTTGGATGCCAATAGTGGGGTTTTTTCTTCTTCTCTTCAGGGGACAGATCGAGTCACCCGAGTAGATTTTTCTGCAGCTTGTTTTTGATTTTTTTAAAAGCTTTTCTTCTAATTCATGGTACCATCTTTGTTTAAACTAAAATGGCAACAAGCATTCCAGACCAGACGGAGAAGGGACGGAGGCAGAATGCCACTCCATTATTTTGTTTGTGAAGGTGTGCCAGGAGTTGAAATCTTGTAAGTCACGGTCAGAGATAAAAAGATAGAATTGGCCTAAGCAACAGTGGTACTGATCTCAAGTTCCAGGTGTAATTGTAGAAGATAATTCTCTCTCTGATCCATTTTTAAGTGAACAGTGTGAAGCAGAAGATTGCAAGACAATCACAGTATAGTTTCAATATATTGCTAGTTATTCTATGACTGTTAGAAGAATTCTTAAGCATTCCAACTTAAATTGGCAATTGCTGATAAGGCTTGAGTTTGATTTAGATCAGTTTCTTAAAATAAGGTCAAGAGAGCAATGGCAAAAACTATGGGCATTCTTCACCTAGCACAATGTATTTCCAAGCAGCTGTTCTCTTGACCAGAAAACAGTTTCTTGGTTAACTAATTTTCAGAATAGACCATGCAGTGCTCTTGTCATAGCTCTTGGTCACAAAGAAAAGCATCTGAACCTCTCTAGCTGCTCTCTTCTAGCATATGAACAAGTCTGGTATGCACAGCTAAGTTAGTGGCTCATCTGAAACAGGAGAGTGAGTGAGCCATGAGCACACGGTCCAATGCCAAGTAATCCTGCTGGTTGATTTTTTTTAAATACCTAAATATGATCTAGGTCTGTACATTTCTGAAGGTCGTGTCAGATACAGCAAATACTCTTGTGTTGGCTATTTTGGGACATTCTGAGAGCAGAATTGAACTTAGTGTTCTGACTGTGTGGTGATGATTGGAACAAGACACAGCTCCATTGACAAGACATGAGGGATAAGAGCAGTTCCAGGCCCTTGTAAGTGACCCATACAGGCTCTACCTACGGGAATCAGTCCAAGAACTACTGCAGTTGTTGGTAGAGGGGTGAGTATTGTGCATCCAGCTGTCATCAGCTCTTCACAGATTAACAGCACAAATTCTCTCTCTCTTTTTTGGGGGCTGCATTATAAATACCACCAAAAAAGAAAAAAACCAAATCATTATTAAAGGAATGGAGCATCCAGTCTCAGCACAATTGTAACAGCAGTAAGGGACACTTAATATAAGATTTCCCTCGTCTTTCACCCTTTCTGCTGTGATAAATTAGCACATAATTTAAAACTCTTCTGATAAAAACTGTATGTCGATCTCAAGGAAACAATACGCTAAGAAAATAATAAGCTGTGGCTCTCATTTGTCAGGAGATCCTTCAGCTGGGTGAAAGGTTCAGCTTAATGTTGCGTTGCCTGATCAATCATGATTACTCTCAAGAACAAATCAACCCCCCCTAAACCTCCAAAACAAGGAAAGTTTTCCTAAATTTTAAAATTTGCACTTTAAAATTATGCACTGGATGTGGTGGACGACATACATACGTGTCAGAAATAAAACAGCTGATTTGCATACTGATGGTGCTACCCCATGTCACGTATAAGCTAACAGAGACGCTTGGCCTGCATACCCACAGGGACTGGCTGAGTAAGATGCCAAAAGGCTTGTCTTTCTGTATTACTCTTTGCTCTTCCCCATCTCCTCACATCCAATAAAGCAGTAAGCACATTATTATTCATGGATGAAAAGAGCACCCATGTAAAACTTGCAAGCCATGTGGAATTCTGCTTTTCCCTGAGAAATGATGGAGGAGTAGCATCCACTTTATTCCTTAGAGAAATATCCTAAAACTAAATTAGTGATAGGAAATAGCTAGGTTTTTTACTTGCTTGTTAGCACATTGACCTGTCTTCAAAGAGCTGATATATGCAGTGATTATAGTGAGAACTGCTGTAAAAATGGGAGAAGAGACCTGAGGAGTAGCAGATGACTCAGGTTACACCAGAAGTAGACTCATGTAGGAAAGTCTTCAAGCAAGAGAGCACTTTTAACATCCCCTTTGGCTATCTTTTGTATACAGTAATTTTGTAGCATGACCAAGCTGTTAAATTTGCTGTGTTAAATTAAAATGTTCTTCTGTGAAACTTGTTTAAAAATAATATAATGTTATTTTATACAAATGTCTTTGGCTGTTGTGTAATGAAATAGTTCAGTTTGTGGAGAGCGTTCAGAAATTAAATTCTGTTCTCATTAAACTTTCCTAGCTGCTCAGGGAGCAATGTATTTAGAGTATGTAAATGCTGTTCCTTATTGCCTCTATATTTTAGAATAGAAAATAACATTGACTTTAAAAATGCTGATACATTGTGAGTGTTGTCATCTGATACATAAATATTTTTCAATCTTTTAAGACACTGGTTGTCGGACTTTGTTCTTGGGTCCTAAGAGAAAAGTCTACTGCTGTGCAGGAAAAAAATCCAAATAAATCAAATAAATGGCTAGTCTTTCTTCAGTACAAGATTACTAATTCACTTTGAATTTAAGTTCTGTTAACAGCAATATAATATCAATTCCATTAAACCAGGACTAGAGAAGGTTAACTGATTAATAAAACTTCTGTAATAGAAACTTCAGCCTTCAATAGACAGTGTCACTGAAATGTAATTTCAAAACTCGGATATAAAGGAAAAGCTTTCTACCCCACAGTCCACAGCAGATGGTGTCAATAACAAGAATAGCATCCCACAGTGATGGTTGTAATGCTGTTTAAAAAACATATAGGGAATTACTGCAGCATTCCTCACAATACCACTAACTCAAAGCTTACTAAGTCACTAAAATGCTTCATAAGGTGTCTTTCAGTAATTGAAATAACACTTCCACAAGTTTGGGCTTGGATCCACCAATTAAAAAAATGTTAAAACTGAAATACCCAAAACTTGTGTCTTTTTTTTTTATCATGCAAAGTTTATTTGCATGGTTCACAGATTTAGTACAAAGTAGCCAACATTTAGCACTTGTGCCAGTTGGATTCGATGGGGAGGCAAATACACTATTTAAAGCCCTAAGTGAAGTCTTAGTCTGGGGGCTGAAGTGAAGGCTTGGGGGTTCCCTGTCTCATTTGCCCACCAAGCAAAATACCACTTCTCCAAACGCTATTGCTGATCAACAGCCACATCCACAGGAGTAAATTAAAGCAAGGACTTCTACACTGAGCTGAAAAAACCAAACATTTTAGTGTCTTTGGCTGAGTATCTTGGCAGCTTTGCCAAGAATATTGAAATGAAAATTTGTCAGCATAAATTAATAACTACAAAGGAAACAGGTGCACTGCCTTAGAGTCTAACTGAAATGGAGCAGGGGCCAGTCAGACACTGATACACGTTTCTACCATATACTTTATGCAGTGAAACATTTGCAGCTTTTAATGCCTCCATGCCCATAGGTGTGAGAAACACCTATGTAGCCTACTTAACTAAAAACAGTTAACTGCCAAAACAGAAGGAACTTTTGTTTTGAGGATGGATGGAAGCATATTAATATTTAAAATCCACAACAAGAGATCCAGCTACTGCCAGAGGAAATGCGATTAGTGCTCTGTAACAAAGTACATTTAAAAAAACCCCTTAGATTCAGGTAACAAAAGTACCTTTAAGACAGTATTCACTAGAAGTTTTTTTTTTTTTTTTAACTCTACCATTGAAAAATATGATGCAGTATGATTTATAACTGGAGTAATTGTTCCTACAACCAGCATATTCAACTGCTAAGCAGCAGGAAAATGTTAACTCTTTCTCCAGCAGCTCTAGATTTACTCCAGTCTCTGTCCCAGCCACAGCCACCCAGGAATTCAGATTTAATACAAGGCCCCTCAGGTACTAAGTCAGCCCATGCTGCCTTTGCTCTCTGTAGTTGTTTCAGGTAGTGTCAGAATCCAGCTGGCCTTATTTACAGCAGAGAAGTGAACCTAGAACTATTTCCTGTGAGTTTCTAATATGCTATCAAGGTTCTTACTGTCATTCTGGGAAGGTGCTTGGCTTGGAGTGGGACACACCCACCATCAACACTTCTGTAAAGCAACTGGAGCTGCATCTGCCAGTTATTTTGTTGGATATAAGGCATAAAACACATTGCAGGTATCTCTG